CCCCCAGGAAATTTGGACCCCCCCATAGGTCTCTGGAACCGCCACTATGTGTTAGGTGTGTTAGAATGGGGATAGTACGTTGTTTTTCGTGTCTATACTGGCGATTAGAACATGAAATTTGTTTTAAACTCTCGACCTATCGGTCTCGAGTTCAAACCCAAATTACATGTTCTAGTCGCCAGTATAGTCACTCAAAACAACGTAATATCCCCTAATTATTCGGAATATACCCGGTATCGTACATAACGTACACTGTAACGTACACAATACATCTGGGCCGTTTTCATTTAAACGGTCACACCACAGTTGTTCGTTTAATAAAATAAAGTCAGACCTAGTAATCTGATGCTGCTTCCAGGCGAGCCTCGACAAAGCCTTGCAAGGCCTGCATAAACATTTGCAGGGCCGCCAGGATTTATACCCGAAATTGTTACATTTATTCAATTCTAGTATACATTTGATATGCTGTTCTTTAAATTAAGCTCCTAGGATATGGTTACATTTTGTATATATACATAGCACGATCGAACTAATATAACTTCAATACACAATAAAACAAAACAATAAAGAAACTGCCTTACTATTGGACGTACCGAACAATAAATGAGTCGTAGCTAGGTAATTATGTTACTTAGAATATACATACAGCACATTTGTAAAGATCTCTCAGAACTTGTACTTCCAAGTCAGGCGGGCACCTGATACATCCATAGATGGATTTTATCCAATTACATTCAATTAAAAATGTACTTTATACCTTGGCACACTATTCATATACACCACACCAGAACATTCAAACAATATACCGTATATATATGTGTGTGGTTACTAGGGCTGGTTATCTCATTTATCATCTAGACGTGTTATTTGTTATAATTTATTATTCTCTATATTTCCTCCTTTAAGAAGATTTTACAAACAGAATAATGTAGTTACAATGATAAATTAGATAATAAATGCAAAATCAAATAGATGGTAAGATAAAATTAGTGCACAACGTAATAAGTTAACACAATAGGAATAGGTTAATCAATTTGAGTACAGTTTACAAAAGAATACATAATTAATAATGTTAAGAATGATATACACAAAAGTATTGAATATTCATTCGAAGCATGCATTAAGCATTTTTGAAATAGGATTGACTGATGCCATACGAAATTCTGTTAACTCTGATGTATTCAGTTCATACGTTATATTGCCACCAATCAGTAGGTGAAATAATTCATAGTCTGAATGAGAGTGTAAATATACGCTAAACATAAGTTCACATGTATTAATGACTTGACACCATAACTGATCTCGTAAGTCTTCTGTTCAATCACATTGTAAAAATATGTGGGTATATATATCGTTACACATTTGTCCACATTTATGACATAATTCAGTTTTTCTGAATGTCTTAGAGATACAATCAATTTCATTATACTACGTATGGCTTCTCTGTTTTGAGGAAATTTTATTAACAATTTCCACAATATATGAGGAGCCAAATTATCATGAACAATTATAAATCTGCAGAAATCGCGGTCACCACTCATTCTCTCCTTCCATGCTTTTTCTTCATATAACTGTACATTATGCTTTACTTTCGCTTTCCATGTACTTTTCACGGGAAATAATCCTTTTGATAAACATTCTTGTACTAATTTGTATAAATCATATTTCTTTAGAACTCTAATTACTTCATTCAAAAATCCATTCTTATACACATTGGTCCCTATAACTGCCATAAAAAGACGAGTGAAAATCACAAGATAAGACATACAATTTTTCTCCAAGTTACATTATCTTCCAAACAATAATAATTTCTTGGTATCTATGTATGCTTCTAAACTTAGCCACCCTAGAAGGCCTGTGCACATATCTGTACGGGTTCTTGTANAGTATTTTACTAATCGTTAAAGGATTTAATGCACATGGATGAGCACCACTTTTAATTAAACTCATGACACCACTCTTAAGCTTATTACATGCGCGTACTGTACGTTCCATACTATTAAAATTATAGTTCAACATCACGCCAACATGTGTTATATCCTCAACTTCTGGAAGAAGATGCCCATATAGATATAATTTCGTACTAAGATTTCGCTTCTTTTTTCTAGAGAAATACACTATTTTACTTTTAACTGCAGAAAATGTGAAACGCCACTTTCTGCTATACGCTTCGCACATCTCAAGCATGTATTGTAAGCTTTTACGTTGTGTACTAACCAGACATATATCATCTGCTTGTGTTGGTATATTAATTCTTAAATCGGCAATAAGTGCACCCTTCCCACATTTTTCAATACTGTCTAATAAACTGTTTATGAATACAAGATAGATTTTGGCAGACCACGCACTCCCCTGTAAAATCCCCCGTTCCATACGGATCCATCTTGAATTTAAACCATTAAATACAACACTACTTCTTATATCTGTGTATATTGATTTCAAAATATGCCATGTCTTTGAAGTGATACCGATCTCATTTAACTTATACAACAAACCATCATGCCATACGGTATCAAATGCCTTGTTACTATCTAAAAAGGCTACATAAACATCTTCTTCTCTTCCTAAATTATAATGTAACATTCTTGCAGATTAAATGCAGGTAACAAACTGCATAGTCATTTTATATAAGCTGATTGTTGCCTATTCGGAAAGTTATTACAATTAAGAACTGAATCTAATCTTTTAGCTAAAATCATTTCAAAAACTTTAAAAATGACTGGTAACAGAGTAATTCCCCTATAACTATTAGGGTCATCTTAAGATTTTGCGTTTCCTTTGTGCAAAGTAATTATTGTTCCCATTTTCCACTCTTTTGGTATATGTTGACACTTAATTACGGCATTAAATAATTTTGATAGGTGGACATACAGCAATAAGTTTCCAAATTTCAAATGTTCATAAACAAGATTGTCTAGACCTCATGCCTTATTTGTTTTCAACTTTTTACATATATTTTCGATTTCAGATACAGAAACAGGTTCTTTCAAAAACTTGTCATCTTCGCAGATTTGGACATCTTTATCTCTTACTTTACTCGAAACGTCATGTTTGAAATCTTCATCAAATAAACTATTGCAGTCGTTCTTGAAAATGTTTTCGAAGTGAGATGCCCATTTGTTTACAATGATGTTTGGGTCTCTAAACGTTTGACCGTCACATGTAAATTCTGTTTGAGAAGGGCGCTGTTTCGTGGATTTGTTTCTAAATAGATACCAAAACAGTTTTTGATCTATTTCGTTTGATTGATCCATCTATGATAACTGGTCAGACATATACTTATCAAATGCTTGTCTAAGATTTCTCCTGAATTCTTTCTTCATCAATTTGTACTCTTTAAAACTTTCTGAATTCCCACCTCTTGGTTTACCTTCACCGACCCAATTTTGTCTGCTTAATCTCATATTACAATGAAAAAGAGATAACTGGTCATTCCAATATGGTTTTAGGTAATGCTTGAACCTTACAGTCGGTATAGATTCTAAAGAAGCATTAAATATTGCAGAGACAATTTCACAATAATATTTTTCTATGTATTCCTTGCTTAGACTCAATTCCTGTTCACTATACTCAGTTTCTGTAACATTGATATGAGACAAATTCTTATATAAAGCTGCTCTGTAAGCATTAGGGTCTGCTTTCTTCCAATTAAACCGTGTTCGTTTATCAGTACGTTTATAACTAAATGTTGCATTGGCTGATATCAGTATTGAACTTATCACTGGGACCTGTTCTGACAATTTCAAATCATTTTCTACCAAAATAGACACACTTTCTACTAAATCAAACATACAGGATTCGATAATTATGTGGTCAATAAGTGTTGATTTGCTAGTCTGAGGGGAAAAAGTACTATGAGCTCCAAGGCACTTATCATGTACGTACACCGATATTAAATTACATCGGTTTAAAAACTTTTGAAAAATGTTCGATCTTTCATTTTCAATAATACTACACCTAGGACCTCGAATTTTAACGTGTATGTCTCCTATGAACATCACCTTTTCCTTTTCGGAGTAAACAGAATACAGACCTTCTAGAAGTTCAACGTGTTCTATGAATAACTCTATAGTTCTCGAAGAAGCAGACATGTATGCAACAAAGCAATAAAGAATAAAGTCATCAGATATATTTATCTCAGCCCCTACTATTCTCGGGCTGTCAACCTCGATCTCTTGAACTCTGAAAAAGGATTCTTTATATAGCAGAGCAACCCCTCCTCTAATGCTACATTTGTACTTAAAAGGGTTTAACNATTAAATTCGCGTAACCAGTGCTCAGATATACCACAAACATTAATATCATATTTCTGAAGGCAGTCTATTAGATATGGTGTCCCTGACATGATGCCTTCAATGTTCCAACACATCGCATTAACAATTTCAGACATATCTGTGCTCACTCAAGAAAATTTCGCGTGGCTGCCATTCCCTCATTCGGATTCCTTCGGGCCAGAACGACTCATCGCTGATAATATCTGCGTCCTCCGCTACTATGTTCAATTGCGCTGATGCCGTGTTTTTCCACCGTTTCTCAAAATACCTTATCAAAGTAACGCGCACATTAGCTTCCTCAAGATAGCTTCGCATGGAAGCTTCTGAGGATATTTGTCGGTTGATTCCATGTACGTAGAATCGCTTGATTCTCCTTCTTTGTTGCTGCTGGAATCCCACAAATCGCTTTGCCATCGGATTACACACATATGTTGGGAAATGGACCTTTATCGGGTGTTGAGTTGTCGTTTCAGCTGATACATAAGATGGATTCTCAGTATTCACGGAACGCTTCTCATTCAGAGACTCCGAATGTAATATGTCGCTCCAAGAGTTTTGTCGCGTGTCGTTTCCTTGGCAGAGTCCTCTAGCGTTCCGATCGGTTTTAGGATCTAACGTGTCTGTGAAAGAATTCGCGGTTTGTGTGTTTTCCAAGTTATCCTACATGATTGTTCGATGATGCACTCAACACACTGAATCTGTTAAAAGTCTTTACGACTGATTCTGTCTTATTCTCCCCGGTAAGATCCGCACTCCTGTTGGTCATGTTGTGTTCACTCTTTCTCTGTATGTCCTTCCTTAATTTGTCAACTTGTTTCTTTATACCAACTACCGATGCTGCACATGTCTTTATTGATTCCCTTGCCTCGCTCAGATCTGATTCGTAACACTTTGTGTAGTTAGTCACCCGGTCTGATACCAGTTTCATTGTCTTTTTAACAATTTCAACACCATTCAGTTGTTCGTTATCGTATCTTTTTGCCATGTTCTAAAAGTCTGTTGTGGCTTCTACCGTCTCCTTAATATCCATTTTCATCTTTACCATCTGTTTCATCGTTTGTTCCACTTGTCTCTAGTTTTCACGTAGTTCATCCTCAATACATTTGATCGTTGAACAACTTTTCTTTCGGATCCTCCCATTTTCAGTTTTCAATGAATTTATTTCCGTCCTATCCTCGGTCTGCTTTAGTTTCAGTTCGCTGACAGTTTCTTGCAATACTTCATAGGAATGCTGTATTTTTTCACGTGAAATCTTGATCTCTTCTACCTCAGTTTGCAGTTGCTTCAAGTCTTCTTTATACTTCAACGCCCTGTTTTTAGCATTTTCTTTCTCTTTCATTAAACCATCAATTCTTGATGTAAGTGTTTCTATTTTCTCGTTGTGGTCACTTTTCAGAAAGTGCATATCGCGTTTCAAGACTGCAATGGTTTCTTGTAGCACACTGAATCCTGCCAATTCGCTCGCACCGCGATTTCTATTACTGTAAGAAAGTGATTGAGTCCGCTTTTGGTTTGTAGGCACGACATCCGACAAGTCCTCCACGAATTCACCCTCACACGCACGTACCAACACAAAACAGTCTCTTGTCAACTTTGCCTGTAATGAGGGAGCGTTTGGTGCCCTTGTCTCCTTACGTTTCCTAAGGTATCCCTCTCTGTATGGAAAGTCGCCTTAGCAAATAATGCTTCGCGTAACATTTCAATATCAGCAACGCTATCCCGTGTCAACTGTCGGATTTCGTCTATAAGTATTGTTTTAGGGCGATCCTTTACCCTTTCTATCTGTTCCATATAGGTCGCCGTAGAGTGTGTAGTTCTACCCGCCGCGGTTGACTGGTCACCATCGTAAACACTCTCAGTCGATATCTGATTATGAATTGATACCGAGTCTCCGAGTATATAGCTTTCGTCAAATTCGGCATGGTCATCACGACAGTTTATTTGACCGTTTTGCCAAGGAGATTGCATGTACTCTTGGTTGATTGGTAACAAGTCCGTATATGTAGGCGTAAGTTCATTGCAATCTGCGTCCTCATTCGATCCGACATGGCTAATTGTAAGGGTATTCACAAGTGCAATCCTGGACCCACAGTTTAAAATAATATCAAAGCACACATTTAATAACACATAATGTGGTCGATGTTGAGTGAAACATGTAATATTCAAGTAAAGTTTATTTCAACAGCTTCCAACTTCAATGATGTAAACAGTTTTCATTGAGAATTAGGGGCCAAGCTGGTCATCGTACAGCGGTGCGTCAATAGAGCGTGACGGACGATTGGCTTTACAGGTAGCCTACCCGAGTGATGAATGCTCACCTGTGTACGTACGCGTACGTGACATTATAACATATCATATATACGTATGCACAGTGGAAATATAATTGCCAATTGTTCGAATATACAACAATAAAATTGTCCATTTGACTGTATATCTACAACACAGGTACTACTATATACACGCATACCGTTCCTTTAAACTTGAGGACGTCTGAAACCATTGCAAATCCAGCATTTTATACAGCTACCGCTTAACGATCCTCTCGCATTGACGCCATCTTCGTGTCTTTATTGTCATACACTTCTTTCTATTACTTCATAGTAGATATTACTTTTGATAAAATAATCACTGTAATAAACCAAGTATCACACGATATATACTTGGTATCGAACGTTATATACCCGGTACTGCACATACATAGTATATACCTGATATCGTAAGTAATATACCGGATATCACACGTAATATACCAGGTATCGTACGTAATATACCCGATATCGTACGTTAATACCCGATATCGTACGTAATATACCTGATATCGTACGTAATATACCCGATATCGCACGTAATATACCCGATATCGTACGTAATAAAACCGATATCGCACGTAATATACCGGATATCGCACGTAATATACCCGATATCGAACGTAATATACCCGATAACGTACGCAATATACCCGATATCGTACGTAATATACACGATATCGTAGATAATATACCCGATAACGTACGCAATATACCCGATATCGCACGTAATATACCCCATAACGTACGCAATATACCAGATATCGCACGTAATATACCCGATATCGCACTTAATATACCTGATATCGTACGTTATATACCCGATATCGTACATAATATACCCGATATCGTACGTAATATACCCGATATCGTACGTTATATACCGGATGTCGCACGTAATATACCCGATATCGCACGTAATATACCCGATATCGGACGTAATATACCCGATAACGTACGCAATATACCGGATATCGTACGTAATAAACACGATATCGTAGGTAATATACCCAATAACGTACGCAATATACCCGATATCGCACGTAATATACCCGATATCGCACTTAATATACCTGATATCGTACGTTATATACCAGATATCGTATTTAATTTACCCGATATCGTACGTAATATACCGGATATAGTACGTAATATACCGGATATCGCACGTAATATACCCGATATCGCACGTAATATACCGGATATCGCACGTAATATACCCGATATCGCACGTAATCTACCCGATATCGTACGTCATATACCCGATATCGTACGTAATATACCCGATAACGTACGCAATATACCCGATATCGCACGTAATATACCCGATATCGTACGTAAGATACCCGATAACGTACGTAATATACCCGATATCGTACGTAATATACCCGATATCGCACGTAATATACCCCATAACGTACGCAATATACCCGATATCGCACGTAATATACCGATATCGCACGTAATATACCTGATATCGTACGTAATATACCCGATATCGTACGTAATATACTCGATATCGCACGTAATATAATCGGTATCGTACGTAATATATCCGATATCGTTCGTAATATACCCGATATCGCACGTAATATACGCGATATCGTACATAATTTACCCGATATCGCACGTAATATAATCGGTATCGTACGTAACATACCCGATATCGTACATAATGAACCAGGTATCCTACGTAAAATACCGGATATCGTACGCAATATACCCGATATCGTACGTAATTAACCCGATATCGTACGTATTATACCCGATATCGTACGTAATATAATCGGCATCGTACGTAATATACCCGGTATCATACGTAATACGTATTGCACGTACATTTTATATACCTGATATCGCACGTAATATACCCAGTATCGTAAGTAATATACCCAGTATCATACGTAATATGCCCAGTTTCATACGTAATATAGCCGGTATCGTAGGTAATATACCCGGTATAGTACGTAATATACCCGAGATCGTACATAATATACCCGATATTGCACGTAATATACCCAGTGTGGTACGTGCATGTTATTCAACCGGTATCATAGTAATATCTCGGTATCGAACGTTATATACCCGGTATTGCACATACACGTTCGATACTTCTACTTCTAAATGGTCAGTACCATTTAGAAGTAGAAGTATCGAACGTTATATACCTGGTATTTGCACATACATGATATATACCTAGAGTGTTGTACGTAATATACCCGGTATCGCACGTAATATACCCGGTATAGCACGTTATGTACTCAGTATCATACGTTATATACCCGTTTAGAACGTGACATATCCTTATAGTACGTAATATACCAGTTATCATACGTATTGTATCCGAAATCGTACGTAATATCTCGATATCTCGGTATCGAACATAATAAACCAGGTATTGCGCGTACATGTTATATACCCAGGATCGCACGTACTATAGATACCCGTATAGTACGTAATATACCCAGCATCTTATGTAATACATCCAGTATAGTAGGCATTATATCCGGTATCGACGTAATATTCCGTATAGTACGTAATATACTCGTATGGTACGTAATAAACACGTATAGTACGTGATATACCCGTATGGTACGTAATATACCTGTATAGCTCCCATGATATAGTTTCGTTATTCCATTACACAAAACACGATCAAACTAATATAACTTCAATACACAATAAAACAACAATGAAGAACCTACCTTACTATCGGACAGCACGCTCGTTAATTGGTCGAAGATTATTAGGTGACTTAGAATATACTGCAGTGTTCTCAGAACTTGTAATTCTCAGAAAAGCGAGCACCTGACAAATCCCTCAATTTATCTGAACGGACAGTCCATTCAAAATGTACGTTAATACCTTGGCACACTATAATATACAACAAAGTAAAACATTACATATGTGTATACAAGCACGGGTTGGCTCGTTTACATCTAGACGTGTTATTTAATACAACAGATGATGTCAATAAATAAATAATCAAATTCCGTGTAACAAAGCAGGGTTGTTTTCCTTCTCTCACTTCCTATTTGATATATATATTCCTCTGATAAAAAATGCAGGTCACAGTAATCCGACGCTATTTCGCCCCAATCTGTCCTAGTATTTATATTTAGCAATAAGAAATAAACAAATTAACAAACTCGAAGGTGTTGTATATGTATGATATACATTTTATGTATCATCAGTGAACAGTAGCATAACCTTGATTACATTTAAATGATCGAAGTGAGGCATAAACTCAGTGGTGAGCAATAAGTCTCGGATGAAACATCTTGTTAATTCAACAACAAAATATATTGAATTATTAAAACGCCAAAAGTTTTGACGGACACAATATCTTTTGATATCGTGGAGGCAATGTAGTCTAGTGGTAGGACGCCGGGCTCGTGACCGAGGGGTTGCGGGTTCGAGTCACGGCACGGAACTGTGTTGTATCTTTGAGCAAGATACTTTACTCCCCAGGGAGCGGAGAAAGATATTGGCTGGTTGCAAAAGCCCTATAACCAGGAATAATAATTTGTGATCCGCTTTGACCAAAAATGATCGATATCCATGGTATAGTTCTACACAAGAAGTCGTTTATAGCACTTTAGCTAAAGAGCCCACTTTTGGCCCCGCCCCTCAGCCCCCTTGGGGGTCAGCCAAACCATTTGTACAATTTTGAATTACT